TGTGTGTGTGTGTGTGTGTGTGTGTGTGTGTGTGCTTAAAATGATGTATATCATATAAGAAGAGAGGGAGAGTGAGGGGGTTTCAAAACTCCCTAAATAATCCAAATTCAAGAAGACCCCGTATGGGAACTCGAACCAAGGTCATTCCTGTTAGTACTGTTACTGTTACAGCCCACCATGAAATCGACAGACACCAGCAGCCTGCCGCACTCTGGAAAGTAAGTAACGGTAGACAAAGCACAACTCAAAGTGACTGAGGCATTCATCTTTTTTTTTATTATGCATACATCTTTATCTACCAATCAACAATGTGGTGTGTGGTAATGTATCATGTGGGAAATGACAAACAATGACTATTTTAAAACATACTATTTTGATCTGTTTTCTGCAGTCCCTGAGTAAAGTAAAATGTCAAGCTGCATAATCCTGTGAGAAGAAAAGAGGCCGTTCACTCTCCGATGCAAACTCGTCTGTGGGTGGGTGGACACTCCTTAAATTTAAAAAAAACGAAGGAGAGTCCCAAAATTGGACGGAAGTTAAGAATGTACATGTGTTTAAGGCACGAGAACGTTGGAAGAGCTAGGGCGAACAATGGGGACATTGGTGGGACTTTCGCTGTGAAATGTCAGCGGTAATGACGTAGGGGGTTTTAACCCTCTCTAAGTGACGGGATCTGTGCCTACCACCTGTGCAAATACTAAGGTAAGAGCGGGCTATATGGATTAGGCAAGAGTGGGTTAAAAGAAAAAAAAATAATTGTGGCTGAGAAGTAGAAATAGTGGTTAGGCGGATTTGTCTACAGGAAATGATTCATTAAAAACTATTTTGGGTGAGTAGGAACCGCGGTCTAACGGACTTGTCGATGGGAAATCATTCATTAAAACCATTTCGTGAGGGAAGTAACAATCGTGGTCTAAATGATTTGTCAGTATCCGAAGTTTGAGTAACTACGTTTGGGTAGGACTAGGAGAAGCAAAAGGTTAGGACCTCGGGAACTAGACGCCAATAGCGGTGGGCAGCATGGGGGGGGGGGACAAGACTGCTGTCAAACTGGGAGGCCCACGCTTGTCCCAACGAAGACACGAACAAAATCCACTGACGTAAGTGTACTTTAGCCCCTTCATTGCTGGAACCTTTCCATGCACGTTTGTACAGAAAAGAAGGACGTGTTTATTCAAGATGTAAACAAAACCATAATAACCTTGACGCTCATTTCAGAATAAGCAATTACTCAAATTGTAAAATGTATATCTCCAAAAACCCTTTCTATGGGCCAGTACCAAAGAAATAGCAGTGGACCGTTTTGGAGAATACAAGAAAGGATATTCGTCAACATAGCAGCGAAGAGGCAGAGACACATAGTACTTCTGTTCTCTGGACATGCAAGTTTCCAACTGAGAACTACAGGTAGGTATAAGGTTAAAAAATGCGGAGCTCTTCGTCTACACAGACTATCAAAGCTGAAGGACAGTTAATTAGATATCACAGATAGCATGACATGAATAGGTTACCTCTTCTTAATATCACATACATCATAAAGTTTTACTTGAGCAAATCTTTTTTTAAATATGTACTTAACAATTTAACAAAGGACAAACATGTTGCTCTAAAAACAAAGACACACAAAAATAATCACTCTCGTCTATGTTGGTTTTTAACTTTCATACCACTACGGGTCATTCACATACAAAGAATTTTCTATGAACACATTATATCAAGCCTGCTATCCCCCCCCCCCCCCCCCCCCCCCCCCCCCACCTGTTACTGTTAGACTTCAGTATGGACTTCATCGTGCAGAATGATTCAGACAGCAAACTACAACAAAAAATATGCAATGATGTCAGAGTGCAGCAGAGTGACTAATCAGAACTATTCACATATCATTGGCAATCAGAAATTAACCTGCTCATCGATAAAACTCTGTGGATTAAGTGAAATATGAAAATCGACTTTTTACAAATAAATATTGAGATCATTGGTCTCATGGGAAATATTTTGGGCCCTCAACAACATCATTTAGACAATTCTATTCAGGAGGTTGGTTTCTTCAACCTTGCCTGCAATGCTGGTCCAGCTCACGACAAGGACAGAGTATTCAAGGAGACAGACGTAATAACTTCTGCACACATGAATCAAACTCACTACTTCACTTCACAACAGTGAAGAGTTTGCCCATTACACCACAGACACCGGTTCATTAGTCCGAATAACTGCTCAGTGTAACAATTTTTCATGCATCCCCCTTCAATGGTGAAAATGGTGAAATGGTATTCCCTATTAACACTATTAGGTTATTTAAGAGGCGGGAACTCCCGAGTTTAACTTCCATCTCCGAAAGGACCGAGCCAAGCGGGAAATTCATGTAAAATGCCTTTCCCAAGGACACAACATGGGATCCAGCCGAGGCCCAAACCCCTTAACCCGCAATCTCACGATTATGAGTCCGGTAGCCTTACCACTAGACTACCAACATCATTTTTCAAAATGACGTATGGCAAAGTATTACACTAAGCACTCGATATATCATTCAAGTTACTGTTGTACTGTAAAGATTCTGCCTACCACAGACGAACCATTTTCTGCATGTTTTAGTTGATATAATCTGCTGAAAGTTCTATTCTACAAGTGTGATCTGCTATAGCAGAAATAATATTATTGTAAATGCTCTGGATCGGTGACAGCAATGACCTACACCTGTAACTGAAGTGGAAGATCTCTCCTTGATAGAGCAGTACCCAGACTGAACTTCTACACCTTGCTCATCTTCGTCTGAAATGCCATTCAAGAGACGAAGTGAGTAATTTTTTAGATTCATGTGGAGCACGTGGAGACATCTAGACAAAGGTGGGATAAAATTTACAAGCTTACACTGAAATGTGGGAGTAGGGTGGTGTAGCTGTGTCAAAATGAGCAATTTGATGGCTAGGTCACTGTAAGTCTGTTATTTAAGTGATATTGTGTATGCATCCAATTACTAGATCAAGATTTTTAAAAAAATATTTTTGTGTGGTCACTGGCCTGCAGAAGTGCAATGCAAAGTTTCACGGGCATTGGTAAATTAGTAAACGAGCTAGATTTTGTAAACGCAGTCAGACAAAAATGAACCAGCTCTGATATAAGATGTGTGTACTGGGGATGTATCCAAAAGTCATACATTTTCAGCATCTAAAGACCTTGGTATCTATTATGGGGTGAGCGTAAAAAAGCAAAAGCCAGCTTAATACAGAGTGAACCATAAGTTGAATACATTGGTCAGTTCTATGAAGAAATAGGAATATAAATCAGTGAAAGTTATACGTTAGCAGTAATTCATTTTCGTTCCTTTATAATGAATACAGGATATTATCGCTTATGTCTTTTGTTATAGATTTTTAGTGTTTGGCATATTTCACTATTTTCTAATAAATAATGAACAGCGAGCTGCAATCTATAGTAGCATTCTAAATGACAGAACTGGTATCTACCTCATTGATTTAATAAGAATACAGAATAAGACATTGTATATACTTCATACAACATAAGAGCATTCTATAAGTGTCAGCTAGAGAAACCCATACGGCAAGCGGGCACGTATTAACAACTGTTGTGCTTTGTCAAATAAGAAAACTGAAACCAATACTTGTTTACTCCTGTGCCAAATTACATTATAACTGTTTGACAAAGAAAAAAAACTGGAGCAACAGAATGTGATGTACGGGAATGCAATAACAGGTGGGGGAGGATATTAATTGTTATCAGATCTGGGGAGAGCAACAGGACAAGTTTTTCTCCAGCTTAATAGTACATTCTCAGTCACAAGAGTCATGAATCATGGTACATGTACCCCACACAGAAGCACAACAGCATTAATATTTCTTGCCACACTGTGCATGACATGCTTGAATGACAATATCAATCTTTTCCCATGAGACGCGAGCATTGTCTGATTGATGGTTAATGTCCTACATCCTCAAAGATGCAAAGTAGAATTCTAAAAGGCCCACTGCTTTGACCCTGGCAATCTGGGCCAACCCAAGCTGTGTTGAAGACTTCAGCAGAGCAGAGAGTGGGAAACGTTGAATAAAGTACTTTTGGCCCCTAGGAATCAAACTCACATTTTTTAATACATGGTGGAAAAGGAAATCTGGTAACAAAAGTGCCATGTAACTGACAGAAGGAAAAATGGAAGACGTTGAAGGAATTACCTTCAGTTTAATAAATACAGAAGGCCCGTGTTAAGGAAAATAGCAATCAAATGACGGAATGGTACTGTGAAAAAGGCATATGGGTAATAAATTTTTCTTTTCAAAAATATCAAATCTACAGAGGTCACAGTTTGCAAGGGTTACAAGCTGGTCTGGCCACATCAGCTATGATTGTCATTAAAAAAACACACCATTCGAATTAGACTTTGTAAATGACACCATTGGAATTTTACAGAAAGTAAAAAGTTATAATAACTTTTATTAACAACTTTTTTGACTAGTCTATAACTTTCAACGAGGTATGTCTTTCAAGATTGGTGCTTGTGTTGTGCAAAAGTAAAATTCTCAGAACTGCTGACATTTACGAAGTCTGATCAGAATGGCAGCAACGGGTAAAAGACCAAGACCAAGGAAGACCAACCAAATACATTGTCTCCTAAAACAATGGAAGACAAACATAATCATGCACTTTTTCCTTTAGTGTAACGAGCCACACTCACTCTCAATGGAAAAGGTCAATATTTCAGAACAAATGCAATCCCTTTGTATTCATGTGACCGACAGCAACAATATGGAAAGCAATATGTTTAAAGAAACAAATGATTATGCAGAGCAAGCAACTTTTCTTTCAGGGGAAAAAAGAGATTCAGAACTTATCAAAGTAGTGAAAGATTTGAGATTCTTTGGTACTGGCAAGCAAACCAAAAAGAAATCTAGCTGCTGCACAAAAGATCACTTTTCTATTCTTTTAAAATCGCATGATCCATTTAAAAACAGTTGGCCATCAGATGGATCACTAAGTCAGATACATCACTGTAAAATGAAATAATATGACTAGCTACAATACACATTGAGCTATACGGCGCTGTAATGTGGAGACTTCGGAGACTGTTGTAGAGTATCAGATCAAAGGACGGACGTGTAGTACAGACTAGATGGACACTTATCTCCTCACTCTTGTTACCTACAAACTTACAGATTTTTTAATAAAAATTTTGTCGGCAACTTAAGTCTTTGTTGCATAACAGATTGTTATCAACACTGTTACTGTAAATGCTTTTATGAGTCAGGGTAGGATTTGCTTCCTGCCTCAGAATACCTTTATCGCTGCCCTGCTTATTGAATAAAACTATAGTTTATCTGTAGGCTTCTGAGTGCTGATGAATGTGTCCTCACTTCAGAATTTGGCATTTCTCACAGGGAAAGTCCTATGTAATTGATTTGTCCAAATTCACTTCAATCCACAAGGTTGAACCCTCTTTAACTTTCGTAAACTTGTTCCAGGTTGGCGTTCACACTTAGTTTTCTCAGCTGCGCATTTCCCCCAGAATTAACTAGAGATAGCACCAAGCAATAGTCCTCCAAACTGAGAAAAATAACAGTAATATTCATTTCTGTTCACTCCATCTAAAATGAGCATTTCAGGAGAAAAAGAAAATCACTTCTTTACTTTCCCAAAACACTTTTGTTTTTTAAATCTGCTATCATAAAAATGTTTTCTCCTTCTACATAACAGGTTTTCCTCTTTGCATTTCATTTTTTCAATTATTTTGCATTTCTCGAATGAAACTTTTTCCAGGTTCTTTGTATCATTTGAGCAGCGTCCTGAGCCTTTCGTATTTTGGCTACACGTTCCTTCTCCGCGACCACTCGTGACATATACGTCCTCTGTCCCTCCTCCTCTGTCAGGGCTTTCAGTGGTACTTGTGCCGGCTGGCTTCCAAAGAAGGAGTCGTCTTCCTCATCCTCACTGTAGTCATCATCACCTTGGTACTGAGACAGCTTGCGGGAGAAGGAATCTCTTCCCTTCACAGGGCTCTTCTTCCTCTTGTGTGGCTTCAGCATCTTGCCAGCAGCTTCTGAAGAGACCAAAAAATGTGCTTAGTTTGTTGGAAGGTAACTTTAAACAAACAATGTGGACCAGTCATAAAAGAGTTTATGAGACCATAAAAGAACAGCAAAAAGGTTGAGCAAAAGCTGACAAAGGCAATGAAGGCAAACAATAATACATCAATAGTAGAGTACTGGGAGACTAAACTCACACCTCATCAATGCCATGAGTACTGGGAGACTAAACTCACACCTCAGCAATGCCATTGTGATTTGCCATTTACCTTCAATGAAACTTTTTTGCATAATGAAATTGAAATTTTTTATATACCGTCAAACCTGTCTCTAATGGTCACCCACTGCCAAGGAAAAAACTGACTGGTGGCTGTCTTACACAGTGTATTTATAATGTAAAAAATATGCAAGGGAGGAAAGGGGCCATTCCTACATGTGATGGTCTAATACAGGTGGCTGTCTGAGTAGGCTGGACTGTAGCTCCAACATCCCTTGTAAAGTTTAGAGCACCAGGCCATATAATTACATGCATATCCAGCCCCCGAGAGAATAAATGCCAGTCCATCCTGAAAATCTCCATAACACAAAACTTTACTCAAAACATAAACAATCTTGTTGCCATGAAAAAATGGAAACATCCAGCCCTGATCAACTGGCAGAAGGGCAAAAATTGGTATTCCTTGACTTGTTCTTATTTTTAATTTGATCAGTTTTAATTTATAACATTGTTTTAAAAAAAGGTAACGTTTTGCACTACTAACTCAATCCAGTTCTGCTTGCAACATTAATTAAGTATAAATCGAGTTTGCTCCCCCCCCCCCCAGTCTAGAATAAATCTACCAGCTTTCTCCTTAATTGATTCTTTTCCTACCCTACCTATAACAACAGAAAGTTGACCTGGCAAAGAAAGATGGCGAGTTCAATTCCTGATCCTAAAGAAAGGCACTTTTCTTTAATTTTTCCAGTTCTTCCACCTACATTTTTTTAAAATATGAAAGAGATGACAGTTTGAGAGGCCAGAATAATAATAAGAAAAAAAAATCACCACCTCTTTAGCCAATTAAATAGTAAATATTTTGTACCTGTATCAGCACAGTTAGAGCATTTACAAAGCAGGCTGCTTCTACCTTGTCTGTCAGGACCAGCCTGGGCACAGTGGATGCGGCATCTTCCTGGCCGACAGACAGCGATATTCAATAAAATAACCACTTTCCTACACAGGGATTGAACTTGAGTCTTCTGCGTGCAGAGACAAAGAACCTGCTCCACAACACAAGAGAAAGTAATCTCTTTGGTTTGAGTGAACAGCAGTTTTCCTCTCAGTGACTAACTACCACATGAGACAGGACCAGTGAAAGGAGAGAACATGACTTACTCTCATTGGCTCCAGGACTGCTGTCCCCTGAAGGTTTCATAGTTGTGTCCAAGAAGTTCTGTAGTCGGTCAGCTACTGACACTGACTGGAAAAGACCCAAATAAAATAACAGGTTAGAGTTGGTTTAATACTTTTTACATATCAATCCCTAAAGACATATCACTGGAACAATGGCATTTTTTAAAACAAAAACTGTTTAATGAGTACTGGAAGACTAAACTCACATGGGAGAAGTTTTTGGGGGTTTTTTTATAGTAGAGGGTTTTACGGCGCTCGCAACTGCATTAAGGTCATATGAGCACCAAGGGGTGGGTGTCAACAGAGAAGTCTTTACAGGGAATCAGACTTAGACTGCTCACCTCTCTAGCTTCAACAGCACAAGGTCTGCTTCAACTATCAAGGCACTCCGGATATAGAAGGTCACAAGAGAGTGACAAACATACAAAAGAAGTAGAAGAAAATGACAATAGTAAGGATCAGGAAAGAAAAAGCAGCAGTTCCCTGTTGTAGATCAGGCACAGTTATGAGCATGACATGAATCAGCCCATTTACAATTCTACTATGCTTGAACGAGAAATGTCCCCCCTTTGGGAAGGGCCTAAAGACACTACAGTCAGTGACACTGCCCCGGGGGTAACATGGGAGAAGGAACATAGCACACACAATATAATCATTAAAAGCTTTCATAGAGCTAAAAGAAAGCAAGATATCGAGGAAAAACATACTGTGCCTATCAAAATAGCGCCATCTGACTGGCAAAATTCTACACCACTACAAGCAAATCAATCGCTACCCTGTCTCCTGATTACAAGCAATGTCAATTTCAGAAAAGGCATTTACACTGATAAAGGCTTTAAAAGCTCAACTGTTGAGAGGACAATGAAACTCAAATCAAGACAATTTCAAGACACTTTTCACTTTTCTTCAGAACAAAGACTGTCTGACACACAAACGAAATCTTGTAAGATTCTCGATGAAAAGCAAGACATTCTACTCTATAAAGTTAACATAAATTAATACATGGCAAACAAAAACTATATAATATCCCTTGCTTTCGGTTGTCACAAATTTATGCAAAAAGGGAGCAGTTGGACTGAGTCTCACCTTAATATCTGGTCCCCACATGGACTTGGCATCTGATGTAACCTTTGAACTTTGACCTTTCTTTGGCTGTGAGGATTCCCGAGCCTGGCTCGATGATTTGTTGCTGAAGCGGTTCCTCTGCGGCTGCCGATAAGGTGAAGTGGAGGATACACGAGCGTATTTATCATATTGTTCTGCATCCGACGTCGAATCAGCTATCTTTGAAAGGAGATCACTGTCCAGCATGTGGGAAAGAGCAGAGTCAAATGTGCGAGAGGACAAACCCATCTTCCTGGCGTCAAATTTTTCCTCACTTGACATAGAGTGCACGTATTCACTGGGCAGCACGGTGGACGTTAACGAAGCTGGGGACGGTGTTGTCTTGGTCGCGGAAGACGTGAATCTCGACAAAGACATAATGCTGGTTGGCTTGAGCTGTTGAGCAGAATCGCTAAAGTGTTCTTCCCTTTGACTAATCTGGGCCAGTTGAGATGAAGGAGGGGGCGACGGAGAATGGTTTTCTAATTTTCGAGCTCTGTCTGCTTTTGGAACTGGAACGTCAGACATTAAATCCGACACCTTAAGGTCATCATCATAACAATCAGGTGTTGCTTCATACTTAGCATAATTTTGACCTGCTTTTCTTCCTGAAGACAAACTCTGACCCCCTCCAGCCACATCCCGTCCACCATGACCCGTATCATGTTTCCAACCCTTTGAACTACAATTGTTATTGTGGTCGTTGGAGTTCACCATTCTTTGCGGCTTTGGGACAGGGGCGGCAGACTCATTCGAGTCCGTGGTGGAAAACTTGTGGCTGTGTCTGGGGTCGTGGACTGACCGCACTACTTGAGGATCCATCTCACCGATGTTTGATGGTGTGTCTGAAAGATATGCCCCATCCAGCTGTCCGCTGGTATGAAAAACAGTGTGAGAAACGTGTTTTCCGTTCTGTGTAGGGTCTGTGCAGCTATCAGGAACAAGAAATTCTCCCTTGTGTGTGTGGCCACCAGCAGCCCCTTTGAAAACAAGCTGGTCGTTGGGATGATGTCCATTTGAAAAGTTTCCTGATCCCAGCTCCATGTCTTGTTGAACTTGGAATGCTGTTGGATTAGATGACAACTTTTTCCCTACAGACTGCAAAGTTTTTCTGACGGAAGGAACATTCCCGTTCCCCGCGCACTGACCGTATTCATTCACAGAATTGTCAATGTTGTTGCCGTTGACATGCCAGTTAGGCATTTTAAAGGTCTGACAAGCCTCGTTGACCATCTGCCTCTGAGACTGGTCTGGACTCTTCTCCTGGGGCTGGCCGAATCCCTCGGAGAACCCAGGAGGTGGCGGGACTGTCCGACTCACACCTCCCTGCTGGGATTGCTTCAACATTTGTTTGAGATCCCTCAACTTCTCCAGAGTTGCCTCCTCCTTCATGGCCAGATGCTTCGTCTTTATCACCACTTTCTCCCGTTCCAGTTTGTCGGACTCCTGAAACAAAAAAGTTTGTTTGTTGGAGACAGCTCAAGAAATATGTCAATACAACAGAGATCATTTAATTCAGTTGTCATTGTCAATTTGTAAGTTACTGTGAACAAAGAAGAAAAGTAGTATAACAGAGAAGAAGAAATAGCAAACACCACAAAAGCTGTCACAACCATCCCTGTAATTGAGAACTTTCGTTTCATTTTCTTTTTGATGCAAGCGTCTTACACCCCCATTGACACAAGTGAGATCATTAAAAGAGGCAGGCTTTAACCCTGCCTGTCAGGGCCAACCCAGACTGACAGCGATACAATGATCCAGTAGAAATTCTCCCCTCCCGGGAAATGAACTCGTTCCTGTGTGCAAGAATGAAGTGTCTAACTGCTGTAACACAGACAGCAGTATATAGACCTTGAGAAATTATGACAGCAGAACAAAGTAAGAGCACAACAGAAAAGAAGCATATAAACCAGCACCAGCACTCATCAAAGCACATTAAAAAACAAATTCAGGCTTAAGGAGAAGAAAAAAAAACAGGTTGCAATCATCTCACAGTATAACATTTACTGTTCATAAAGTCTTAAAATACTGTGGCTGCTACTGCGCCTTCCTCTAGAACCTAACATAAAATGACAAAGAACCTGTGCACTTTAGCTTCTTTTAGTTGAATGTTACATTTAGGCCTACACTGCCTCAAGCATCTGTGTGACAGTGACAATGACAATCTTTATTCATCTCTCAGAGAGAAATTTAGTCTTGGTCACTTACAATGGCAGTACTATTACAGTGGTCAGTTGCTTTTATATATATACACACAACAAGTGGGTAAAAGTAGCGCACACCCAGGCTTGTACTCGGTTCAACAGGGTTAAAGAGATTTCACTTACAGTTATAGAACAATGTGTAAGATGCAGTATAGACTTACAAAACAAATTAATAGTTGGCTTTAATATAACAGTTCGTGTGCAGAAATTAGTAAGAAATATCCAATATTTATTTTAAATATATTTTTTAAAATTTTAATGGAGACTGTTATTACACACAAAGAAGTTTTTGTATTGTGTCATAATCTAAGTTATGCGAGTCTATGTATGCACAATAGTGAGGAAATTTTCTCCAGCTCAAACAACAGACACCTCATCAAGCTCTAGTAAGTGACACTAAAAAATCGTTCAAAGACTTTATGCTTCAAGCTCTCTCACCTTCTTCTTTTTCTTCTCCTCATTTTTCAGCATATCAAAGACCTGGCGTGTGTTCAGAGATCCTTTTGCTTGTTTGTACTGGCCAAACTTGTCTTCCAGGGTCGTCTTTTTGCCTAGACCATTGGTCCAGTCACTCTGGCCCACCCCCTTCCCAAAGATAGCTTGATCCAGCTCTTCACGGGAATCCAGTACTTCTTTCAGCTTATCTTGGAACCTCGTCTGAAAAGCAAAAAAAGCAGACAAAGGGGGCTAATGGAGAATTGTACAGATTTGACACTCCACAAAGCAGAAGAAAATACATCAAAACAAAAATGTCAGGCCCGGTTCGGCTTCACTGTGACAGGGCCACATAATGACCTCACAAGTGAGTAAGCAAGAAAGAAACCGGTAAGAAAAGGTTGGGAGAAGTCTTAAGGGGTCCAGCGGGTAACGTTTTTGGTCAATTTTCGATGAAATCATTGCTTTGATCATTGCTGAATCAGATTTTCTGGTCCACTTGGTAAAAAAATTGACAAAATAGCTGAAAATATGTCTCAAGCGACCTCACCCCATCTTGCAAAAACGACTGCTTGGTCAATTGTCCTCTCTTTTTTGTAACATTTTGTGTGTACTTGGTTCACTAAACTTCTATAAATGAGGTTATTTGTAACTGTACAGAAATGATATTTTATACATGATTAGAAATAATAGAGCATATGGTACTGGAACCTCTAAAAGGAACAAACCCTCAAATTACACAGAGACATTTTTTTAATGCGTTTTTCTCAAAACTTTATTTTTGAAAGACCCTTCATCACTAAAATCTTAAAATCTGAGCTACTAATCAAGATAATGTACTGAAACTTTCCAAGTATGTGCAGATGGGGTAGTTACAGGGACCTGGCTAGTTATATTTGAGAAAATTTATTTTAAAATTCAGAAATCGGCATTTGAAATTGATATTGCATTTAAAATTTGTACAAAAAGAGGGACATTACTTTGAAATCCTGAGAAATTGCAGAATATTGGAAGTGTATCAAACCACCAGCCTGGTTCCTGTAATTATTATTATTAACTTAATATTTATTAAGAATTTAACATAATGCTTTTTGGTTTTCAAAATTTTAATGTTTTCTTAAGTATTGTATAATTTCAATATGGCTGACAATGTTACATAACACTGGGTTAAATAGTTTTTAAACATTTTAATTTATTTCTGGGAGGGTACCATATATTTTGGAAAAGTTTGGTTTCAAAAGATGCATAAATGTGAATGTGCCTGGTGCAAGGTACCAAATGACGCATTTTGAAAAATCCCATTTTTTTTGCATTTTCATGTACAGAGATCATTCCTGAACAATATGCTTTTTGTATTATTTCGATATCTTCAGTAGTTTTTGACACATGGTTGATTTTGTAAGGTTTTGAGAAAAACGGCTTTAAAGTTTCCCTTTTGTTTCTGATTCAAACAGATAGATCTACACTTAGAGACGACCTGACAACTCATTCGCTACATACAAACCAACTTTAAAAAGCAGCTAAGATACAAGAACAGTTTCAAAGTGTTTATATTACGTCTTCAAAACAAATTCAACACCATCTTGAGCAAGAATTTTCAAAAAATAGATCTCGGTTTGCGCAGGGCAGAAAAAGGCGATAAACGTTTGCTCTCCAAAAAGAAGAAAAAGTGTGGATGCACAAAGCTTCACTTTGTTTACATGTTCAAGATATTTAAGCGCACTACCAGCCATTAGATAGGGGAGCTTGGTATGCAATGTGATTGGGTCGACTTTATGAATGGACAAGAGAAACCATCCGCAGTGTTTTCTCGGAAAACCACATTTGTCACGCATTTAGGGGGATTAAGCAATATATCTTGAGCTATAAAACATCTTTAAAAATGTATTTTAAAGTAAAAGAAACTCAAGTCCTTGCAAATATCGATATATTAATGGCTAAAGAATCCATTTTTAATGGAACTTAGTTTTTGTCAAAAATTCTATGTTTGACCTTTGAAGCCCGATATCTCGGTTCGAACAAATGCGTCTTTTTGTATCTTTCACCAGGCACACTCACAAATAACAAAGATACCTTTCCTTGGTAGCTAGACCCCTTAAGATAAGAGCAAGAATATATTTGCAGAACAGAGGAGAGATATAAGAAAAAAGGTTTGCATGTACAAAAAATTCACATCATTTATCAATCCCAGTCTTTAATGAGCTTTACAATGATCTCCCCAGAAAAACTTTCCAAGTCTGCTTGCAAATGTCTTCATTTCCCCAGAAAACAGATAAAACAGCAGTTAGAGGATGAAAAAGATATTCCCTGCACATACCATTAACATCATAATAATAATAATGATGACGCCATTTATATAGCGCATAACCCCAGTCTACAGCATGCTTTATGCGCTTTGCAAGTATTATTACCCTGGCACACCCTAGTGGGTGGTTGGAGGATGTCACTGGTAGGTGATACTTTTTTTCTTTCACGTTATTGTTTCTGTCTGTCTGTCTGTCTTGCTTCATCCCCGCACTAAATAACAGTTATTGTGTAGAGATATGCTTCTCTTTACAAAAAACTCAAACTCAAAGACAGACCTTAGAGCATTCAAAAACATTCTCCACTTCCTAGGAAGCAAACAGGGCAAGCAGCCCCTCAAGCACTTAAACAGTAACAAACTGATAAGATATTGTGCGCGACCTGTCTTTTAATCAGGTGTCTCTCCACCAGCTGTTCCCGGTCAATGAGATCTGGGTCGGCCTGGATGTGCCTCAGCTGCAGCAGGTAGGCGTGCTGGTCTGCAACCTGGTCCTCCGCAACCTGCAGCTTGAGTCTGCGGGATGAAAACAAAACTGATTCAGTAAAAAGCAAAGAGAACAGAAAAAAAAACAAAAAAAGGAGGGGGGGGGGTAGTTTTAATAGAGGTTTTACGGCACTCGCCGCTGCATAAGGTCATAATAGTGCCAGAAGATTAGAGGTGTTACGTTTGCAGGCGGTTGGCGGGTGCTCTGGTGTTGTTTGCTCCTTCTTTCCTATCAAATATCTATCATCCTTATCTTCCCTTCTTCTTTTTTTATGTTTGTTACTCTCATGTAACACCTCTAATCTTCTGGCGCTCATATGACCTTATGCAGTTGCGAGCGCCGTAAAACCTCCACTAAAACTAAAACTAAAGAGGTACTACAAGAGAGTAACAAGCATAAAAAAGAAGAAGGGGAGATAAGGACGATCGATTTTCATAGGGAAAGAAGAAGCAAACCATGCCAGAGCACCCGCCAACCACCCACGAGGAGGGGGGAACTAGGAGAAGTTTTTTTGTTTTAGTGACAGTATTACTGCGCTTGCAACACCATTAGGTGATATTTATGAGATATAAGTGCTGCAGATCAGAGGTTTTACAAAAGAGTAATAATAAACACAAAGAAAGGAGGAGGAGAGGTACGGACAATACATGTTTGACAGAAAAGAAGAAGCAAACCACACCAGAGCGCCCCTCGACAACACACAGGAGGGGGAGGCATGCAGAGACACAAAAAGGGAGCCCTTGTGTTAGCAACATTTCTCACAAGACACAGTGACTTGTATTACAAGAATGATGGGACCAAGGTCTAAATCATACATAGAGTTGGTTTGAAAATTTAATTCCTGCAGTGTAGCGGTCAGGCACTTCCCGGTCACACGCAGGAGACCCCAGTTCAATTGCTGAGTGAGGAGCATTTTTATTATTTCAGTCTTTCTGCTGGGTTGACTTTGACAGACAGTGTTAGGAGCCTGATTCCTAATTAAACTAAATTGTGTTAATGGGGGCCTAAAAACACCTACATTTAAAAAAAATACTCGTATATTTGCTTCCATAGTGATCTATATTGAGTTGATGGGGGATGGAAAACACCTACACTTTAACAAATCTTTATTCCTCAACTCACTGGAGACTGGGCCTTTTTCGGGTCTACATGCGCTGAAGACCGGCGTTTTGGGGGGTATTTCAATTCCTCAAACAACACCCTTCCCAATGACATACAACCACCATTTTTACACACATAACAGATCTAAACATGCCCAATATGACATACAAAAAAGAAAGGCAATATCTTTTATAGTTTTTTAGAAATTATTTTTTGAAAATGTGCTAAGATTTGTTGCTCGTCAAAATTGTTTGACATAATGTGTTATGTTACAAAAAAACAAAAAAAACCCTAAAAAATAAATCTTGTGTGTGTCTTTTATTGTGTATTGTGTTTCAAAATGAATAAAAAGTCCAAACTCATGAATAGGCAAGTAATCGATATGGTAATCCTTATGTATTAGCTGTCTAATCCACTTCAGTGTGAAAAAACAGGGCTCTAGACAAAGCAGAATTTTGCATTTGACAGCTTAGTCTAGATTTAGAACATACGCTATCAGAATCAGCGCTTTGATGCTCCTTTACATTGGAATCAGGATCCCCATGGTCTAAAATATCATCAGAATTTTCTGAACTGTCAAAGTCGTGCAAACACTGGAAAAATGTTTGCTTTTCGTGCTGCAAAGTGGGTGGTTGGCGGGTGCTCTGGTGGGTAAGCTCCTTCTTTTCTATCAAACATCTATCATCCTGATCTCTCATCCTTCTCTTTTTGTCTTTGTAACTCTCTTGTAAGACCTAACCTTCCACCTTATTGTGTTGCATGTGCCGTAAAACTTACTAAATCTAAATGTGCTGCCATCGTACTGACAAAGTGTGGCGAGAACAGACATGTCAGAGAAACGAAAGTAGGGCCTCAGTGTGACTAACTTTGCTTCCGGGTCGATAACTCAAAAAGTTTCCAGCCAATTCTGGTGAAACTTCGCATGAAACGGAATAATGGTCAGCTGCACGGTAAGAGACGGTTCACGCAGCGATTGCGCGCATATTTTACCGAGGACAAAACGTGAAACTTGTGCTCGCAGAGGCAGTGAGAACCGCCTCTAGCAAAAATATTGAGGCTCACAAATGCTGTGTGAAACATCCAGCGAGTTAAATGATCTAAATTGTGTCGATAGGGGCATAAAACCAATTTCATTTTTTAAAACGTATTTGCTTCCTAAATGACCTTAACTGTGTCGATGGAAGCATAAAAAACACCTACATTTTTTTCTTCAAACTGTATTTTCACCTGAGGTTGGTCTCCGCCGTCTGCAGCTCCTCCAAGGCCGAGTTCTTCTTCATCTCCTGCAGCTCGTCCTCCTGCTCCTGCTGGCTCTGGTCCAGGAGGTTGAGCTTCTTGTTGAGCCGCTTGATCTCCTTCTCCCTCTGTCGTTCAAACGGCGAGCGGTACTTGTCCTTGCCGATAGTGTGCAGGAGGTGACTGATCTCGTCCACTTTTTTCTCAACATCCTCCACACGTTCTGCACAGCCAGTCCAAAATGCAGAAGAACACGTAACAATAATACCAATAATACCAATAAAAATAATGGTAATAATACTAATAATTGTAGTAAGAGTAGTAATAGTAGTAGTAGTAATAATAAAAATGACGATCTAATAATAATATAATAATAATAGTAATAGTAGTAATAATAATAATAATCATAATAATCATTATCATTTTCATAATAATAATAATAATCATAATCATAATCATAACAATCATCATCATTTTCATAATAATAATAATAATAATAATAATAACAATAATAATAATAATAATGATAATAATAATAATAATAAATAGCATTTGTATAGCGTGTATCCTCCCTCAACAACAAGTTCTATGTACTTTACAATCTATATTATTTTCTCCATTATTCCCCCAGCAGACCCTACAACACTCAAACATTTTTGGCTTCCCCGGAAGCAAGCAGCTCAAGCAGCCCATTAAGCACTCAAGCAATGACAAACTGACACAATCTTTCACTGTCGATAACCGCATGCCTATTCCCACCTGGGTGAAGTAACAAAAATGTGGTAAAGTGCCTTGGAAACTATATAAGAGCCAGAAGTGTTCGAAGATTATTTTCCTTGATCTCTCTCACTACCACATACGCAACTGTTGCGAGTAAAGTAGCTCAGACGTTGTGATATCACACCCGCAATCCTCGCGGTTTCGCACTTGGGATTTTTTTTCTCACTTTAAAACCGCACCATTTGCGGTACTGGTTCATTTTTGGCGTAGCCCATTCAATTATCTTTCATTAGAAAAAAACAAAACCAAAATTGGACGAGCGCAAGTTGAGTTATTGAGTTTTACGACAACCGCCCTTAGAACTGAATTTACAATTACGTTTCCCACAATGGCAGATCGCTTGTCTTTGACAGTTTTCGAATCTTTGACGACGAAAGTGACCCAGAAATCGATGGATTGGTCGAAGATTGTTGTGACAAACTGGGTGGGGAAATTTGTGAAGATGAGTAAGTTTAGTAGGGCCTCCAAAACCTAGATCCAGCATTGCATTAGTGGAGAAGGGCATGAGTATGAAAGGCAAATGGAAAGCAGGAGAAAAGGCACAACAAACCAACCGTCTATGAAACACCAGTTAGATTTATTTTTTTTAACAGATAAAGAAAAGGAAAGACAGAGAACAAATCAAAAGACAAATTCTAAAAGGAAACAGGCCCTATCTTGACAAGTATTTCTGAAACTGAAGGAAGTGGGACAGAGCATCTCTCAGCCAAATCCCATTTTCATCAAGTACAATTTTCATTTTCAGTAACAAGTTCAGACCTTTTCCTTTGAGTTTCTTCTCAGTCTGCGTGTGTGCATTTGTGGCAACTGTAGCGTTGGGGCCTCCCGCAGAAGACTGGCCACCGTGCAAGGTGAAGGACATGCTGCTAGTCTGAGGAGTCGACGACGACGCCCATCCCTCTCGCACTGGTCCTGGTGGCCTGCAGTACACACGAAGAAAAGATATAATTATAAAAATAATAATAATGATGATGATGATGAAAACAGTATTAATGATGATGATGATGATGTTATATTAATAATAATAATAATAATGTGTGTGTACGTGTGTGTGTGAGTGTGTGTGTGTGTGTGTCTGTGTGTGTGTGTGTGTGTGTGCATGCGTCTGAGTGTGATTTTTTCATTCATATGAGCAAATATTAATTTTTTTTACAGTTATTGCTCTTAGTACTTGGATTTATGTAAAGCGCCAAGAGCTGTGTGCACACATAAGTATGAGGTATAAAAATTAGCTACATTAATATTATTATTATTATCATTATTACCCCAGCAGACCCGAAAACACTCAGATATATTCTCAGTTGCCAAACACACTAACATACTGACAAGATCTTTTATTGCCTATGAACGGGTATCCATTCCAACCACCTAAGTGAAGTAAGGAAAATTTATGAAACGTGGCATTTTCCCCAAGGACACAATGTCAGGCTCCTGGCCGGAATTTGAACCTATGATCTTTCGGTTACAAGACCAACAGCCTTACCACTGGACCAGCTACACCATATCCAATAATAATACTTGATGACCTTGATGACGATGATACTACTACTACCACTACAACCACTACTACTGCTTCTAAATAATAATGAAGATAATAATAATATTAGATCTTATACATTGAATTGCACATCAATCATGTTGAGCACAAATTATGTGTCAACTTCAGAATTTCCAAAAAAACCTGATTTTCTACTTTGTTGTAAAGCAAGATTTTAAGTACATCATCTCAATAAACAGTGTAAAAATTCAAGGAATAGAAATGCATGAGACTCCAACAACATGAAATGTGAGTTGTTGTCATCTTTGACAGTTTTTTTTTAATAGTAGAGGATTTTACGGCATTCGCAACTGCTTAAGGTCATATGAGCGCCAAGGGGTGGGAGTCAACAGAGAAGTCTTTACAGGGAATCAGACTTATTCTGCTCTCTCCTCTCTAGCTTCAACAGCACAAGGTCTGCTTCGACTATCAAGGCACCCCGAAAATAGCAGGTCACAAGAGAGTGACAAACATACAAAGGAAAATGACAATAGTAAGGATTAAGACAGAAAAAGCAGCAGTTCCCTGTTGTAGATCAGGCAGTTATGAGCGTGACATAAATCAGCCCATTTACAATTCCACAGTGCTTGAACAAGAAATGTCCCCCCTTTGGGAATGGCCTAAAGACACTACAGTCAGTGGCACTGCCCCGGGGGGTTTTGACAGTTTAATTTAACAGTTTTTAGCCTCTCTTGTAAAACAAACGATAGGTTCCTGGGAGTTGGCCTATCTGTGCCCGACACCATTGATATATAAAGTGCATTTTCACTGTAGAAGAGCTCACTAAACTTTCATCAAAAACAAAAAAGTACAAAGAGAACACACACACACACACACACACACACACACACACACACACACACACACACAAACACACACACACACAGAGGCACAGACACACACACACTCCCACACAGGCACACACACACACACACACTCTCTCTCTCTCTCTCTCTGTCTCTCTCTCTCTCTGTCTCTCTCTCTCTGTATCTCTCTCTCTGTCTCTCTCTCTCTCTCTCTCTCTCTCTCTCTCTCTCTCTCTCTCTCTCTCTCTCTCTCTCTCTCTCTCTCTCTCTCTCTCGCTCTCTCTCTCTCTCGCGCTCTCTCTCTCTCTCTCCTTCTTCTCATCTCTTGCACACACACAGTACAAATAGTAAAACCTGCTCTAATGGGAACCAGTCCAAGTCCTTTACAAAAGACTATTTCCCACTTCCCCATTACATTTTTTAAATGCCATAATGACACTGTCCAAAACAACCATCTATCTAAGACAACGGCTTTCCTCTCCAGCAATGTGTGGCCATCTTGGACAATTTTAACTGCACAGATTGATGCTTGCGGATGTACCTTACCTGTCAGTTTGATTCTCCACTGACAACAAAGGGGTCTGAGAGTTTTCTTCAGACTCCTCAGGGACAGAAGAGTTTCGAGTGACATGGTCGCCGCTGTCGTGGTGCGGGTGGGGAGGGCCGAGGCTCCCGGCAGACACCGGCGCACCCTCCAGAGCTAAGGTCTTCCCCTGGGCGTCGTCCGAGTGGAGGAATCGCTGCCGCAGGAGGTGCAGACATTCTCGGAATCGGCACTGGTCACAGATGCCTGTTGGTAAACGCTATAAGATAAGACAGGATAAGACAAGACAAGACAAGACAGGACAGGACAGGACAGGACAGGACAGGACAGGACAGGACAGGACAGGACAGGACAGGACAGGACTGGACAGGACAGGACAGGACAGGACAGGACAGGACAGGACAAGACAAGACAAGACAAGACAAAATAAAATAATACTTAATTGTCCCTGAGGGAACTTTTCTCAGCTATACAGAAATGGTAAAAAACACATGTAGATATACATACGTTATAACTCACTGGAGACGTTTCACGCAGCATTTGCGAGCACCAATATTTTCCAGAGAGGCGGTTCACGCAACCCCTGCGAGCACAAGTTTCGCATTTCTTCCCCAGTAAAGTATGCGCGCGAACGCAGGGTGAACCGTCTCTTACCGTACAGCCGACCTTTGTTTCATTTCGTGCAAAGTTTCACCGAAATTGGCTGGAAACTTTTTGTGACAACATTTTTGGCAAATTATACTGGTGATCATAAGAAAGGTGCTACTTTTCGATAGCGTAAAAAAACCAACTCCTATGGTGTTTTTTCTTTTTTACTGTGAGATCATGAAATTCTTACGTGAAGTAATTAAGGGGGCTCACAGGTCGGGTCTAGGGCCTCGGGGGCTGATTTTCACTCACTCTGAGCACTGTTTACCTTTGGTATTTACCAATCCCTCATACAGTCTACATTTTATTGACACTAGTCGCTGAGTGAGTAACATTAACAGAATTCAATTTTACTAGGTTCTACGTTGTGTCCTAAGATTTTCGATGTTTAAATTTGTTTTACTCAAAATACACTTTTTCACCACTTTTTGCTTGCATATGCCGTGTTTTTTTCTCCAGCATTTTTTAAAACTCAAACAGAGAGACTTGAAATTTGGCATGTATTTAGATAAATAGTTTGTACTTGTAGTGGGCTGGTTGGTTTTTAACATTTCGCTTTAGAAGTTTTTTTACTTTTTTTTTTCATGCCAAAAATATTTTTGAAAGATCAAATTCAATATCCTCAACTTTGAGAACAATTTTGGATACTTTCTAAGTATAGTATCAAAAATCAAAATAGCGAGCTGCAAGCCCCTATTTCTGCTTGACATTTTGCAAATTACAGAATTTTAACAAGTTAAAAACTGTAGAAACGGTGGAGGACAAAAAATTGTCTATCTAATTTTCAAGCTGGCCGCCGTTTCCATGGCAACGGCTTAGGTAATCAAGAGAGTCAACAGTTTAACATGAATCTTTAGACCCATACTTACTGCCTGTGACCAAAGTTATTTCAGTTTGTCTTTAGTTAAAAATGTTGTCCCGTAAGTATCGAGCCCCTTTAACAGCTTTACAGAACGCACCCAAACTTTCTCTTCTTGTTCTCATGTTGGATAAAGAGTAAATAAACTATCACTCTTACCCAAACAGAATGGTAGATCTATATAAAGATCACAGTATTGATTTGAATGATCAGAACAATTTTCGCTGTTTTATTACAACATCAAGATATCTCAGAGACATCTGTCTGTCTGTGTTCTCAGCTCTGACCTGCAGCAATCGGGTCAGTCACAACTCCACGCAGGTAGCCATCCATGATCTCAGCACAGGCCACACGATCTTCTTCCGTCAGGAGACCAACCATATCCTCTGCAGTCAGGGGTTCAGTCGTGCCCTTTAACCAACGGGGGGGGGGAATGTACAAGGAAGAAATTGTAAACATTATTTGAGTACACTTCTATACAATAAGCCAAGAAACAGTGGAGCTTCTGAAGTATAAGGAACATGTTTGAAAAAAGTCATAACAGAAATTGTCAGAATTATTTGAGTATAATATTTTAACAGTGCAGTCTAACGAAGAAAACAGCCTCAGAACTGTAATGCAACATGTTTGATTGAGTGAAAGAGAAGAAACCCCACTCAATAATAACTATTCAGTCCACGGTAAAGATAAAGACATACATAAAGATTAAACAAGGAGGTAGCAATTTCTTTTTTGTTTAACTCATTCGCTACGTATTATTTTTGGCTTGTGGACGAATTTTTTTCAGGAGGGCGAAATGAGATGATGACTAGTGCGCAGTTCACAGGTCTTGGGGGCCATAAATTCAAATAAATATCAACATATTATATACCAACATTTTCAGTATGGTTTGTAGAATATATCTGTATTGTTTATTTGAGTATTTTTCAACTTTGGTTCCTGTAAGAGGCGATTATGCAACACAATTGTGATTGGCTGCGGATAAAATTTGAAAACAAAAAATTAATAATCTCAGATGAAACTCAAAAAATATATTTGCACCTAGTCAAATTATACATCAAAATAACCATAACTGTATATAGAACAGGAAAATATTGAAAAATGAGCAGTTATTTACATACATTCCATTTACAAATGTACTATTTGTACATTTGGATCATAAGCTCTGATCTTGACAACAACAAAAAATTTAATAATTTTGAAAAAAGGATCCCAAACAGAAAAAAAACACTCGTATCTTATATGGAATTATTCAGAATTGCATTTGGAATAAACCTATACATGTCTTGGGTGGTACTTTTTGAGTAAATTCACCAAAAAGTAGTGATTTTGGGGAGAACAAAAATATTTTGACTATTTAGATTTAGGCCTAGATCTAGCACTCAAAAATATTGATTTCTCAATTACACTGCCCTGGCAATTTGAGTCCAGTAGTATCAATATTATAAAGAAGAGTCCTACACTTCTTTAGAGAGCAAAATAATGATACATTTTGTTGTGTAAAAGTACTAAGACCGGTGTCTGGGCTATAATTTGGGCTTCACGATAAAACAATGTCGCATAAACTTCGAAATCGTGTTTCAAAACTGAATCAAAACTTCCGATTTTCAGTGGAAACGCTTGACCCGGAAGTCAACTTTATATTTTGACCTTTATTTTAACATGGATATGTGGATTGGAATAGAAACCCAGCTAAAATTAAACGTCGATTTTCGAGCCGACGGCACTTTAGCCGCACCGCCCCCCACGGCTCGGCGTAGCGAATGAGCTAATGACCTTACATGAGAACTCTAAAATAATCAACAAAAAACATAAGAGAAGTCAGATTTCAGGAACTGACTAAAATTTAAGCAAATAGAAATATTCACCTGCAAAAAAAACAACTTATTTTCATACAAGGATATTGTAGAAACCATCTTATATTTTCAGAATTTTGTCAACTTCACTGATTCAGGAATTTTCCATACTTCTGAATAGAGCTCTAAATGAAGAGCCTATCCTGTATAATGGTAAGGCTGATCAGGCTATGAAAAAACCTGCAATGTCATGAACTTCCTCTCAGTTCACCATGTGCAAAGGCAAATCCATGATAATGCTTATCTTTTTATTGGCATGATCAGCTAGTACTCCTGTACAAGATGCTCCAATACAAACAAATTCATTTGAAACTGTCAAAGATGGCCACCCACTGTCAAGTAGAAAAGTGAACCTATAAGACAAGTGAACATCTTACACAGTGTCATTATAATATTTTTTAAAAAGCACACAGACTGGAATCAGAAGTGGCCATTCGTATAGGTGGTTGTCTTATACAGGTGGCAGTAGGAGCAGAGTCAACTGTACAAAGGCAAATCAACCCAGACACTAGATGTGCACACACTCACTTTTGACCTAAGCAGTGCGACTTGCTTCTCCAAGTGAGCCACTTTGTGCTTGAGGCGTCGGATCAGCGTCTTGTCATCTATTTCCTCGTTCCGCCGGGCGTTGTTGGCCACACAGGCCACCCTCTGGGCAAAGCGGCACGTGGAGATGGACTCTCCCAGGTTCTCCGCCTCCAGGGATATGGTGGCGATCATGGCCGTCAGACAATTGCCCCCTATGTGCAACAACAACAACAGTTTGGGATTTTTTTTGGGTTTCAGCTAGAGTTTTACAGCACTTGCAACACCATCAGGTCATATAAATGTCAAAGATAAGAGGTGTTACAGGAGTGTGACACACAAATAAAAGAAGGAAGAGAGATAAGGATGATAGAGGTTTGATAGGAAAGAAGGAGCAAACCACACCAGAGCATCAATTTACCACCCAAAAATAACAAAAACAACAAAAACAACAACAACAATAACAACAAAAACAACAATAAAGTCAGCAGTCTGAGCATAATAAGAATATTAGCCTTTACTCTATTGCCAACACCTAGGTACAAAAAATGGACTGTATGTGGAAGAAAAAACTCAAAGGTCAACATATAACCAGTAAAAGTCATGAAATTTGACACTGGAAAGACAGGAAACAAGACCCCAGCCCACCTCCCCTCCCCCTACAGCTACCTCATCCTAATATAACATGGAACCAGATCAAAAGGCAGAGGCCCAGTTAATAATAACAACAGAGCTGACTTTTCGTATACAAACATCAAACAGTCAGAAGCAAAGTACACACAAGGAGGAAGAATATTCTCTACTTCCAGACATCCACTTCCATACAAAAGGATCATGACTACAAGTAGCAAACAGAACCGCTCCTCTTTCGATGATAAAACTATAAAACAAAAGTAGTTTCTAAACAAATATTACACAACAATTGCACTTAATTTTCAAGAACGCTTAGTGAAAAAAACATACCTAAAGAGTCTTTGAGCACCATGGTCAAGAGTGAGTTTCTGTAAGGCACATGCTTGGGTCCGCGGCCCAGGTTGTCGCTTGACCGGCCAGACATAAAGGAGTTATTGCTGGAAACAACAACAAGAGATGGAGTGGGGCCATGGTGAGGTTTGAATGGAGACCCAAAAAATGGCCTAGGTGAGATGTGATTTGCTTAGTAAAAGTTATACAGCACTTTTGCAACACAATTAAGTCATATATGAGCCGAAAATTTGAGGTGATACCACAGCGTAACAAACATGAAAAAGAAGGAGGAGAGATAAGGATGATAGATATTTGATATGAAAGGAGAAAACCACACCAGAGCACCCGTCAACCACCCACATAGTATGAGAGTACAGAGGTTGGGGAGGTGGGGACTGCATGGGGACAAAAATGGTCCATGCAGTATGAGAGTACATGGGAGGGAGAAAGAAACTAGCAAAGTCAAGTTGACAGAGGAGGACAAAGCACATGTTACAGTCTTGTAGTCGAGGTGGAAAGCTAAAAGCTTTCATCTGTTTAATTTTCACTGTCACAAGATAAATGAGCTACTCTGTTTGGCCGAGAAAATATTTCAATTGCTCCTTTTTTCTTGCAACAGCAACATTAATATATGTGGGGTCAGAAAAAGAAAACACATTAGTTTATTAATTCTCTGCTATCCATTCATTCACTCCCCATCAATTTGTCCGCAACATTTCCATTTTTCCACTGAAATCATCTATTTACTGACACATTATTCATCCACTCATTCTTTCACCATACACAGTATGCACCCTTCTGCACATCTATGCCCCCATTCCCCCCTCGCCCCCTCCCATCCGTCCACTCATATTACCTTCTATGTCCACCGTCCACTTCAAGCCACTCCTTTATCTACATACCAAGCATCTATCCTTCTACCCATCTATGCCATTATCCCCTCCCCCCCCCCTCTCCCCTTCTACCCGCCCACCTGTTTTACCCTCTACATACCCAGCGTCCACTTCCAACCACCCTGCTATCTTGATACTTAACATTCAACCTTCTACCCATCTATACTCCCACCCCCCTCTACCCCTGCCCATCCATCCATCCACATTACCCTCTACATACCCAACATCCACTTTCAGCCACCCCTCCATCTACATACCCAACATCCACTTTCAGCCACCCCTCCATCTACATACCTAGCATCTATTCTTCTACCCGTCTGTGCCTCAAGATCCTCC